TTCACACAATTACTATTTTGATTTATTTCATTTAGACTAAAATAACATTAAGAGATTTTTGGCACCTAAAAATAAGTTTAAAAACTCATTTTTCATTTGGCACTTAGATCACTGTAGTAAGAAAGAGTACTGGACTGGGACTTAGTACTTGCCATGTTCCTGAAAACCTAACATTGCATTTAATCCCCGTATCTAGACCACATTTCAGAGATGAAGAATTCGGTGTCCTAGCTTTGCCACGAATTGCCTGTGTAACTTAGGCCATTCACTTATTTTCTTTATCTTCCAAACGAGGTGGCTGGATTTGCTCCCAAGGGAGCATCAGAATCAACTGGGACATTTTTTAAATAAAAAATCATCTGGGCACAGTGGCTCATGCCTGTAATCCTAGCACTTTGGGAGGCTAAGGCAGGTGGATTGCTTGACACCAGGAGTTCGAGACCAGCCTGGCCAACATAGCGAAAACGTCTCTACCAAAAATACAAAAAATCAGTCAGATGTCATGGCACAAGCCTGTAATCCTAGCTACTTGGAAAGCTGAGGCATGAGAATAGCTTGGGCCTGGGAGGCGGAGGTTGTAGTGAGCCAAGATCGCACCACTGCACTCCAGCCTGGATGACAGAGTGAGACCCTGTCTCAAAAAAAAAAAATCATCTGACCTCTTCACACACCTTTGCTATTAGAATCTCTGCAGGGATGGACTCCAGGAATGTGTCTAACAAGTAACTCAGGTGATTGTGATGATGAGCCGAGTTTGAGAACAGGATCCTTCACCACCTCCAGTGGTGCTGCCAGCGACAACACCCCCGTATTTGCCTACCTGCCTTCACTTGGTAGTCTGAAGTATTGAGAACTATCCTAAAGTAAACTAAAGCGCCAACCCGCCACACTTAAAAAACTGAACAGTTCCACACTCACTTAGAAGACTGAAATAACTTCCATAATCTAGGTGGATGACAGCCACACAAACAACTAGGCAAAATCTCTGTGTGGCAGACCTCATGGCATGGCTTAAAGCCAGCTCGAAAGCCTATCCCAACAGAGCTCAGGAAGAGAATACTTTTAAAGAAGTCTCTCACCACAACTGAACCTCAAGCAGGACTGACTGGCAGGGTTTTACATTTTATCGCAACAGGAAGGTGAGGGGGCTACTGGAGAATCTCATTAATGCTTTAGTTTTAAACCAGCTTTTGCTTTGGGGCATTCCGTGGGTTTGTTAATGTGAATAGAGCTCTGCAGCTCCCACTTCCCGTCGCCTTCATAAATGCCCAGTCCCTTTCTGACCTGTACTGAGTATGAGCTGGATCACACCTGGCCAGTGATTTCCCCCACCCCCACCATTTGGTACATATTACTTAGAGTTGGTGATCATAAAACATGAACAAGGAAGAGTTTACACATGTTTTCTGGTTTAGTTCAGGCATTCCCTGGGGATGGCAGACTTCACGCTCTCATAACCAGCTGGGAGCTGGGCCTTAATGGCCAAAACAGAAAGGGCTTGCATCACTGAGCACCTCCTGACAGCCAAAGCCTTTCTTCCTGAATGATAATGACATGAAATGCACTCTCCCTGCACGCATATGCATGTGCACGTGCAGACACACAGGTGTGTGCAGGTACCTAAAATGTAGCAGGTTTGACAGCCAGAAATAGCTATCCAATTTAGATTCACTACGTGTTTGCAAAATCCTAATGGAGCTCTTAGAGTAAAACTCTAGGAGGGTCTAATGGGGGACAGAATGGTATGATGGAAAAAGTATTAGACTGTAGCAGCAAAAGCCCCTGGATTCTACTTCTGGGTCCTCCATTAATTGTATAACTTTGGGTAAGCCTCCCTGAACTTTATTTCTTCCTTTGCAAATCAACGGGATTGGACTAACTAATCTCCCACAGCCCTTTCAACATTCACATCATGGTGAAATGTTCACGATAGTGAAATGTATTCAGTTACATGTCTGTCTATCAACTAGACTGTGACCTTTTCAAGACTTAAGAACTGTCTTGGGTAGTTTTGAATATCCAGCACCTAGTAAAGCACCATACACAAAGCAGATGTTTAATAAATGTTTCTAAATGAACCTTCATGTCTAGTGCCTGATCAAAACAGTGCACTTAATTCTTTACAAGCTCCTCGCCTCATTTTTTCATGTGTTTAAAAGCATCACATGGCCAGGCGCAGTGGCTCATGCCTATAATCCCAGAACTTTGGGAGACCTAGGTGGGTGGATCACCTGAGGTCAGAAGTTCGAGACCAGTCTGGCCAATGTGGTGAAATCATGTCTGTACCAAAAATACAAAATTAGTGAGGCGTGGTGGCATGTGCCTATAGTCCCAGCTTCTCTGGAGGCTGAGGGAGGAGAATCGCTTAGAACTGGGAGGCGGAGGTTGTAGTGAGCCGAGATCGCACCACTGCACTCCAGCCCAGGCAAAGTGAGACACCGTCTCAAAAATAAATAAGTAAATAAAAAAATAAATACACCACAGGAAGATACTTTTTTTCAACATCAATTGTGTTACTGTGACATGACCAATATCAGAGGCAACCTTTAAACACTCCTACACCCTGTCTTTAATGTTGTCTATTTTCCTCTTACTCAAAGCATTTCTAAGCCCCTGGCATGCTTTCTTTGTTCGTTACACACAGTGGGCCCTCAATCAGTTTTAGGTGAATGAACATATGAATGCATTTACTTTTTCTAGTTTTGTAAAATTTACTTTTGCAGAAGGCCCCAGAATCTGGCCTCAAATTGTGAAGCAATCAAGGGAATAATTAGCCGATGAAGAACACCGTAATTAGATAGGACATTTTTGTTCATTTTACTATAAAGTATTTTTACAGGAAATGTGTTTTAAATGACTAACATTGTGAATGGGGTAATTACAGCAACTCCATAAGTAGCCATGTTGAGGGCTACATCATTTTTGTCCTCCTTCCTAGTTTAATTCACCAAAGAAACCAGTTACTCCTGGAGTTTAAAGACAAGCTGAAATAGCCTAATCCACCCTCCATATTTTGGATAAGCAACAGTTCAGAGGGTACAGCAGTTGCACCGTATAGATGCTAAGGGTGTGGGTCAACTAAGTGAACCAAGTCTGGGTTTGAATCCCAGCTCCTCCAACTTAACTAGCTTTGAGGAAGAAATAAGACTTAGTGTTTGATAGATCAGTAGGGTGACCATAGTGCAGGCGTCCCCAAACTACGGCCCGTGGGCCGCATGCGGCCCCCTGAGGCCATTTATCCGGCCCCCGCCGCACTTCAAGAAGGGGCACCTCTTTCATTGGTGGTCAGTGAGAGGAGCACAGTATGCGGCGGCCCTCCAACGGTCTGAGGGACAGTGAACTGGCCCCCTGTGTAAAAAGTTTAGGGACGCCTGCTATAGTATATAGTAATCTGTCATACATTTCTTTCTCTCTCTCTTTTTTTGTTTTTTGAGACAGGGTCTCACTCTTTCACCCAGGCTGGGGTACAGTGGCGTGATCATGGCTCACTGCAGCATTGATCTCCCAAGCCCAAGTGATCCTCCCACTTCAATCTCCCCAGTAGCATGGCACCATGCCTGGCTATTTTTCGTATTTTTTTTTTTTTTTTTTGGTAGAAATGGGGTCTTCATGTTGCCCAGACTGGCCTCAAACGATCCTCCCGCCTCGGCCTCCCAAAGTGTTGGGATTACATAAGCCACAGCACCCAGCTGTGTATATTTCAAAGTAGCTAGAAAAGAAGAATTTGAATGTTTCTAGCATAAAGACAAATATTTAGGTGATGGATATCCCAATTATATTGATTTGACCTTTATAAATTATATGAATGTATTAAACTACCACATGTCCCTTGAAAATATGTACATCTATTGTGTATCCATAAAAAGTAATTAGCAGAAATAGAATAGTTCTAAAACAGAAGAACAAAACCAAACCAAACCCAGCTTCTAGGTTTATTAGGACTGATTTCATGGGTTACTGTGAAATAATAATATGTAAACTGGCCAGCATGGCACTTGAGGTGTAGTGGAAGCTCAACAATAGTAGTGTAATATACTATTCTGCCACCTCCTCCTACAAAGCTGACAGCATTCTGGAATCAGATATTACCTTAGGGGAACTGACTGGTAGCTCTTAGCTACATGTTCTGCTATACATTGGATGTTGGTGTCTCCCGTGGTTCCATTACTAACAGTATCTGACTGAAATCAAGCAAACTACTGCCTCACTCACAGAACTTCCCTTCCTCCATCAGGAATTTCCTCAGGCTTAGGCTGATATAATCAAGGCTATAAATAAAACCATTGGAGAACATGGATGTTTGTCTTGCTTATGTGCTTGTAAGGTTTAGTTAGTGAACTCTAGCTGGATCTTTTGTGTTTAAAGTCACCACTCAAAATACTAATATGATATACAGGATTGAAAACAACAAGAGGAAATCAGAATCAGAAAAATTGGTGATAACCAAATTAAAGGGAGACCTGGTCAATTTCTGAAGCATGGCTCTTCCACTAACTACAGGTGGGTACTCTTGGGCAAGGAGCAATTTCACTAGGCTTCAGTTTCCTCATTTATAAAATGAAGATAATAGCTCCCACTTCATAGGATTGTCATCTATTGTATATCGATAATGAGGATTATGATAACTGACAATAATGCTAATAATGGCCAACATTTATTGAAGATACCACATACCAGACACATGCTAAGTGCTTTATCAAACATCATTCCCTATGAAGAAGATATTCTTTTTATTTCTATTTCATGAATCAGAAAAATGAACTAATAAAGATAAAATGACTTCCCAACATCCCACAGTAAGGAAGTGGGTGGAGCCAGGTTTTACGATTCCACACTCTGTGATCTTAATATGCTACCTAACTCTGTGAGGTCATTCAGTCCATGGTCATCCTTTCCCCCCGCTTCTAATTTTGTTCTTATTTCTCTCCATCAGTGCCTGCTACTGGCCACCTCACCCCAATAAGGCTCAAATCCTCTGAAAACTATAGACAGGTACTCACAGTGGTAGTCAGCTTTCCTGCATTCTTCTGGACATACTGGATGGAATCATGGATTGTTGAAAAGAGACCAAGCAGTATGTTTTCCATGTCATAGATTCTGTACATGCCATTCACAAGTTCTTCAAGAGACAGAATGTATTCTCTCCAGTATTTGTCAATCTCCACCACACCTGCCATACAGCCTTGCATGACCACGTTGCAGTAACCACCACAAGGTTTAACCATCATCAGTCCCTGGCAGTAAGAGCAGTACCACATTCTGGTGAGCATTCGGCCACAGTCCTTACTGAACTTCAGGTGGTCGGTTGTGTTGATCACTTCAATTCCAAGATTTAGAGCCTGAAGGAAGATCCTAGTGACTTGCAGTGACTTGGAAACCTGGGTCATAATAAGCTTGGGGAAATTCCCAAATACTTTCAGGTCACGTCTTGCTCCTCGGAGGCACTCATTTATGTCCAAGGCTGAATCAGGCAGGCCTGGGTTCATTAGCTGGGTATAGATGACTGGAAACAGGCTGTCAAACAATTCATTGACCATGTCATCCACATTGATGTCAGAACCCAAGATGTAGAGAGACACATCTGTGAAAAATTCACCCACAAACTCAAAAGCTTGTGGAGTCAGGCTTGGGTAGTTGTTCTTGAACATGGCATTGGTGTAGTTCTTGGCATGGCGGACAACAATTTCAAAGGCCTCTGTAAAAAAAGAGACATAAAAATGTGCACAAATTAAAACATGAAAATCCAGGGTGTAAATAAATTTGAGACTTCTCTATTGCTGTGGTGATTAAGGTCCCATGTGCCTTAAATAATTGACTTTTATTCATTTCTGGTATTGCCTCTATTCTTGCAGTCATTTGCGCCTATAAATCTATTTTCCTTTCTGAACATGAAGTCCAGATTCTGATGTGCACATAAATTCTTAAACACACAAATTATATTTCAAATGACAAAAGCCAAGATTCGGTAAACATTTCAGCCTTTCATGAAAATATTGATTAAAAATTGGCTAAATGAGAAGTTATTTCTCTTTTTCTTACATTGATCTATTCAGTTAAAAAATTGTATTTTAGGACATTTCATTTTTAGACAGAGATAAATATTTGACAACAAACCATATATTGTATAAACTCACATAATAGTTTAAGCCTGTTTAGCCCTGGAGGGGAGGCAAGTTCCTAGCCAAGAATAAAAGCTATCACGAATTTAATCATTTTGGTAGATTTTCTCCTGATAACTTTAAAGGGAGCTTTCTGACAGATTGCCAGACCTGGAAATGGAATTTATCCAAGGCATTTGTATCTGGGTGGAAAAACAATCCATGTACTTATCTATCATTTGGTATTGAAAATAACACCTCTAGCATTTGCAAGCTGAACATATGGAAGGATAACTACTAAGCTTCCTTGCTAAGTTCGGCTTCCACATGGCTTGGAGGCCTTATCTGCTCTACAGAGACCACAAATTCATGATTACATCTGCTGCCCCAACCCCTTGGCATAAAGCCCAATCAGTGTCATCGGTTTGAAAGAGAAAGTAATAATGTCACCATCTCATTTCTCCAAACATCCCAGACCAAAATTATTTCAAATAATCAGAGTTCTACATTGACATGAGGGAGGAAAAACAACCACAATAGGCTTTTTAAGAAATAAGACAGAGTTTAAAAACAAACAAAAATAGTCAAGTTTCCTGAGACACTTGAAATTAACTTAGTCCTTCTTTTCATTTCCTTCCAAAGTGCAAAGGTCCGTGACAGATGCACTCCAAATGATGCCAGTTCATGAGCCTTGAAAAATCAAATTATTACCGCTTTTAGACTACCAGAGAGACCATATTCCAACAGTTCCTTGGGATCTCTTAGTCCAACATTTCAGTCATCTGTGGCAGAAGTACGCTCCAGGTTGTGCTACCACCATCTGCCTCAGATCCCTCCCAGGGTAGAACATACTCCTTAGATTCTTCCCTTGGGTTTATGACATACCCAGCAATGTTGAATAATTGCCAGTGCAATTCTATTGGGCTTCCAAGCCCGCTTGAGAAAATAATGAGTTTAAGACAGAACTTAACTTTCTACAAAGGTTTATGAGTATATGTATGTTGGCTGCAGCTCTGAGGGCAGGGAGAGTGTAACATTCCCTGAGGGACACTGGCTTGCATTGATTACTTCTACTTTACAGCTGTATGTCCCTGGGGAAAAAAAATCTGCCTATCCATAAGCTATCAAATGTTCATTCGTTTTGTTTATTTGTTTGTTTAGAACATTAAGCAATTCCTAGAAAGCAATTTGTTTGTTTAGAACATTAAGCAATTCCTCTCCAAACTCCACATACTACTTTAGTCTCAATTCTTGTTTTATAAAAGCTGTATGAGGCCAAGTGATTATCTAGCCCAATACAGAAGACCAGTCAATAAATTCATTAAAATCATCAGAAATTTGGAGATTTGAAACTATTCATTCATTTTAATTTCAGCTAGCAATCACTTGTTATGTATCAGGCTCTGTGCTAGCTGCTAGAGGTACGTAAGTGCTGGGTAGATGAAGATAAACGATAGACCATCCTTGTCTTAGAAATATTCACAAGATATATGGTTTAGAGTTTACAAAATATTCTCAAGTATATTATAGCATCTACTTTTTACAACAATCTTTTAAGTTTTGTATTACAACTCTTATTTTATAATAGAGGCTCCGTAGAGTTAAAGCATTTTCCAGTGGTCACACAGGAAAGTAGAAGCAATCAACACAAACTATTGTCTTCCATAACAGTTACACTCTTGCTGCCCTCCGACTTACAACCAATACACATATTCTCAAAATTTTGGCAGAAAGTAAACTTCAATTTTAAACTCATTATTTTCACATTGGCTTCTCATCTTCAAATGGAAACGTACTAGAAAAAATTGCAACCCAAAGGCCAACAAGGCAGAGTCACACTTTCATCTTTGCCATTGTGCAGAATGAAGAGAAGGGAAAAGACTGCTGTGGATATGCCATTCCTGTAGATCTCAATCATCCAAGCAACCCTAAAATGAACTCTATACAAGGCGAGTTTTATCTCAAGTATAGTGCATTCATTCTCTAATGTACAAGATGTATAACAGTGAGATTCCATAGTCGGTACTCTCATAACCTTTTTCTTTAAAGTTTCTGTTACTAGCACTCCTAAATCGATAGAAAAAGAAAATTATAAAAGATCATGAACTATTCTGCAGAAAGAATAATCACAATGCATATTGCAAGGGAAAGGGCTATGGGTGTACTTTGAACCTCAAGCTCATATGTACTCTCTGCTCCAACTTCTACAGCTTAGAATTCACTTAGCACATTTTTGGGCTTTGCCCAACCCACTTACTTCTCTATCACAGGACAACAAACTAAATCATAACTGTTCAACTGCAGGCTCCTGGGAGACTTATAGAAACCAACACCAGTTGAAAAGTGATGCAGTTTTTCTTGGAAACTTGAGGTCTCATGAAATGAAGTCAAGGGCTACAATTACTGCAAAGACGTTCAGCTCATTGATTTTTTTTGGTCAGATAATAATGTAAACTTCAACTAGGGGAGGTTTTCCTCTGCCTCCTTCCTGGGAAGAAATCAAGTGTTATATCCAGGAAAAATTTAAACAATCAATGTAAAATCAGAGCTATCATGAACATTTTGGCATTGAATAGAAAATATTACAACTGTTTACAACATAAAGAAAAATAAATGGTGCAGACAAATAGATTTAATAAATTTGGGTTAATACAATCCTAATATAGTAAGGTTTCTAGATTTCTAGATGTCCCCATTATCATTCTGGTCACCACCCTTTGGACATGCTCTAGTGTTGCCAATGTCTTCCTTAAATTATGATGTTCAAAAAGGGATACAATTCTCCAGATGTGGTTTGATAGTGAAGTGTACAATCAGGCTATTACCTCCCTTTAAATGGTTCAATAACTTCTACTACCCCCCAGGACATATAGCCTTTCACTGCAGCAAAATGACTGTCCTTAGTATTTGATACTGATGTTCCTGTATTCAGACACAGACAGGAAGAAATGCGTTTTTATGGGCCTTTTCAGTAGTAAGCTGGGTATTAAAAAAAAGGAGAGTATATTTGTGCTTGGAAGAAGAGAGGAATAAATGAACCATGGAATCTCTTTCAAGTCCTTTAGGATAAGGCAGTCCTTATAGAAGCAGGTTATTATTTTTTTTTTCAAGGCAGTTTTTCCAGCACTGTAAGAAAGGGAAATACTTTACTTTTTATGTTCCTGGTATAAATGCCTCACAATGGGTTAGAATAAAAATGGTCCTTGTTTTCAAGCTTAGGTACCTTAACAGAAAAAAGAAAAGTAATATTTATGAAGTACCTGAAAGGTACATGCCAGGATCTGTGGTAAAATTGGTCATATCTGTCTTCTCATTCAACTTTAACATAACCATATGTGTTTGTAATTATTTTTATTTTACTGGCAAGGAAACAGGCTCGAGAGGTTATGTGACTCAAAGAAGATAATGCCTCTAGTTAAATGCTAAGTCATTCTAACCAAAGTACTTGGTAATTCCAAAATGTGCTTCAGATTTGAAAACTGGATGCTGAGAGACTTGTGGGTTCAGCTCTAACATGGAAAAAGCCTAGAAGTTGTTGTGCCCATCCTCAACAACGAGAAAATAGTCAAAGAAACAGAATCGATGATTCTTCTCAGACTCATCTGAGAGTTGAGGTCAGGGCAAACTACAACCCTGAAATCTGAGGAGACAGACAAATACAGAGAATCACATCTGAGATTAATTTGCCCAGAGCAGAAGCCGCTGAAGCCACAAACTCATAGGAATACTTAGATAATTTTAACAAATTGCTAGAGGCTGAATGTGGACTAGCTCTAGACATATAAACTCCAGGGGCCCCATACTTATGGATCCCCACACTTCTATGGGTTTTATATCTAAAAACCATACAAAGTTCTCACAGCAAAGATGCAAGAAAAATATCTTTGTTTTTCGGGCAGAGAAAGACAAAAAGTAGTAATTTTGAAATATATCATGAGCATTCTCCATTTAAAAAAAAAAAAAAATGCCAAATCTCCCAGGGGAACACAACTTTACCGAAGCCTGATATACTTGGAGGAAAGGCAATTATTAGGTTGGTGCAAAAACAACTGCGGTTTTTGTCATTAAAAGTAATAGAGAACTTCGGCCCCCTCTAATTTCCCTGTCATACCTAAGGGGAGAAAGAAACAAGCTAAGCTAAAATAAACTTCTGAAGGTCACAGCCCAAGGACTTACACCCAATAATAAACTGAGATTCATCATAAGATTACAGACAACTTCCACTCCCCCTATGCCTTACCACCACATCATTAGATCTAAAGTATGATAACAGCACATTACAACTCATAGGGAAGCAAGACACAGATCTATTTAAGAAGGAGCTTTTAGGGAAACACCAAAACAATAGGTGGGATAAAGTAAAACAATGGCAATAGCGGAAACTAAAGTCTCTGGCATCTACATCTACAGAAAACATTAAATAGCTCAGCTACTAGCCAGGTTAACATAAAATTTCACATTCAAGTTCTAATTACTTCAAATTTCTATTACTCAATATATTATGCCCTGTTTCTGACAAACAACTACAAGCCATATTAAAAGATCAAAAAACAAACAAACAAACAAACAAAACAAAACAAAAAAACCCTCACCTTTT